TGCAGTTATTACATTCTGAGAGTGAATGAATACGATTTGAACTAACTTCAGGGAAAAGGTTTGGTCAAACACCGTTAATGGTGAGCACATCTACATTAATCCACTAATTATTTTTTTAGAATATCTATATGTATTGTCTTCAAGAATACCCCCTTCATCAGCACAATCGTCATCCAGTTGTTAACTTTGTCCATTGGGCAGGTTCCTTGCATTTGCGAGATGGCTGTGCCAAGACGCTCCTACGTTGTCACATATACGGTGTTCAACTTACTAGAGGGATTCTCCAAAGACTGTGCCAATTCCTAAAATAAGTTGGTTCTTAATAGGACTTCTGAGTGAAAATGTCGAAATTCTTCATAAGTTACAACGTGCCGTGGAATGACTTACGCAGTTCGGCATGCACAACATTTCGCTGGTACCAAGCAGTAAACCATCTAAAGTTCGTTTTCTTACCAACTTAATGTTAGCCTATCATTGAAAAAGTACATGCTGATTAGTCATACTGAGATTTAAAAAAGTCAGTTTTTGAAATACTGTATTGTACTGAAATAAAATTGTTACGTTTTAAACTAAGTGATAATGGCACCGACTGCTGCAGAATGGATTGCTCGGAGAGAACAAATTATTACCGTCAGACAATCACCATTAACAACTATTGAGTGAGGTTCTTCGTCCGAGCCGTGCTGCAGTGCAGTCGACTAGTTGCGATCACGAAAACCGAGATTGGAAGAAGAAAGAACTGTGGGCAGCACTTTAAGAAAGGCGAAGGCGCTGAAACGTTGGCTGAACAAATTTTTTTTAACGACTTAGTGCTGGCTTATAAAAGAAGCAATTCATCTAAGGTTTACAGCATTACACTTTGAAAGTTTTTGATCCGGCAGCAATTTTATGCCCAATTTGAATTTTTTTGAATTCTTGGCATCGATTCTATATCTTACTACTTTCGGGGATTCCTGTAAAATGAGAAAACTACGTGTTACGAAGAATAATGAATTGGTGCTGTTCTGCACAAAAAAAAATTTTCAAGCTTCATAAAGTAATATTCGGATTTGGGGATACGGGAAGTTAGAGAAGTAGTAGAAATACGCATGGTTGTTGATTCGAACGTTTTTCGACCAACGGCCTGAAGAATAGCACAGTGTTGTACGGGGAAACTCGTTCTCATTCAGAAAAGCCCTGCAAACCTCTGTTATAAGCCATTTTGCAAAATTATTAAAGGATTTCATAAGGAGTGAACTGAACCAGCATTCAATATTATTCATGAGGAAGATAAAGTCCTCATCAAATATGGGCCAAACCAAAAAGTAACTATAAAGACCTTCGTGAATGATGGATGTAAGGAAACAAAGCAAATGAAAGATGGCTGGGATCCGCACAATATGTGAAGATGTGTGATGCAAATAAAGAATGATATTTAAAAATTATCAGACCCTAAAAAATCCTAAAATTATGAGAAAAAATTGAAAGAATTAGAAAATATTTCATAACTCAACAAAAGCATAAAAAAGAACTGCACAACCTGCCCAAAGTAACGTGTTTCCACGGAAACCTGTAGTCTTGGAAACGTTAATTTCACGCAGGTAGTTGCTATTAATGTTATTTAGGTCAGTGCCTCAGGCTTCTTTGCGTTCTGATCCAGGAATATCCACGTGGGAAACTCGGCGTGCTTTTTATTCCAGCCTGTTGGAACGGCACCGACCTCTAGCGAGGTAAGGATATCCTGGAAAATTCGTCTCCTGGTGTGAAACTCTTGTTTTCATTTCACTTCTTTTAAAACCTTTTACTGATGTTTCTTCTGCTCACTTCTATGAGAATCTTATTTCGACATCATTGTTCTCTAATTTTGATAATTTTTAGTGAAAACTGAGACGTTTTTTCTGCTTGGGTTATGAATAGTTTAGTGGAGTAGAATGCATGCCAATTTGACACTTTTACTGATTCCGAAGACGGTGAAACCTTTCCAAACGTCAGCTAATATTAAATAAATCTTTTTGTTAATTGCTTAAGTTTGCTCAAGTAGAAAACATGGTCTTATTAAAGCCGGAAGAGTTTTACAATTTACACTGATTTCTCCAATGATCACTACTGCTTTACAGGTGAGCCACCTAAGCAATAAAATTATTTTCAACTGAAACTTCTTCCACATAACGCACCTGGAGGATTTTCAGCATTTCTTTGCACTTCTTCAGTCAGTTAGTCTTAACAGAATTGATTAACTGCAGCCTTTTCAGAAGAAAATAGTTTCATACTTCGATTCCTCTTTCATGACCAATTGGGCAGACGAGAGAGCTACTCTAAGAAATTTAGTATTAGGGTTGAAGGTGACGTCGTCATTCCTGCTATTTCGTTGCTTAATAATTCAGCGGATAACTTTGCTACTTAGCGTATGAGCGGATTTTTGCTTCTTATCAAGATTTTCTTCATCTTTATACAACTTAGTAATCTTATGCACAGTTTTCAACGAAATTTTAAGCATTCTTGCGACAGCAGCAGCAGAGTCTTTGTGTTTCCCAAGGTGCGACGTAATGACGATTGATGATCCATAGGTTTCGGTTCCACGGCTCCAATAAAACTGATTTAAAAAACATTCAAAAGCATTAACGATAATGATAGAATGAAACAACCTGAAATACATGTGATAAAATTCATTTGGACTCAATTCCTTTGGTTAATCCAGATCCAGGCACTTATCTTCATGTTTTGAAAGTCTCAACATCTACACAAGGCCCACCGTAGAATTTCCTGATGACCTGCTGAACCATGTTGTAAGGCGAATTCTACTTTTCCATAGCTGGAAATTGCTACAGGGCTGAAATCGATGACGGTTGGGAAAGAAGAGCACTAAAGATTACGGCTGCGTTTATAGTTTTCTGGCAATAACATACTTTATTTTTGTAACTCGAAGGCCTTAAATTCACGAAGAGCTGTTCTAGCACTTTTTCATTTAATTGGAATTGGTAATAGGTCTGCGAAACAATGTGAATGAGACAGAGTTTCTCATGGCAGCTCGTATAACAATCGCCTTATCGCATGTGAGGGCCCATTTCTTGCAACGGCTGCAAGGCAACTGACCCGCTTTCCTACAGCCAAATTTGAATTCAAACTGAAAAACAGCTCTAATTTGCTCTTTTTTGTCCTTATTTTAACAGTTTCGATTCAACAAAAGTGTGTTGAAAAAGGTCACTTACCTAAAAATATCGAACAAATCAGCTGTCTCAAACTGCACTTCAAACAACAATTGAACCATATCGTACTTTCTGGTCTATGCATAATACCGCGTAGGAAAGCTAAACATTTTTTATCGAAAATCTAGTAAACTCTCTCAATGCAGAAGATTCTCGGCTAAGCTGTTATCGGCTAGATGAGCTTTTACTTCATTTCTTCGTTGAAAAATAAGAAATTTTCACAAGATACGAGGGGATATTCATAGCTTTTCAATGAGAAGTCCTGCCCAATTCTGCTGCTAAACACTATACCCGGAGCACATAGGCTGAGCACGATTTAGCGGATGTTCCCTACTAATGCGAACAGTTTTTCCATAACTAGAGCACCTCAGCAATTAAAGGCTTCATAGACTTATAGATGAGAGCTCTCCCTATCTTTTTAAGAGTTTGGCAACAATGCCTATTTTCGCTTTTTTGCCACAGTGGACTTAATTTTCAGCTTTTGGGGGCTTACCGGTTTTTGATAATAAACAGCAAATTTCGGATAGCTTAGGAGACGGAGTGTGAAAATGACGTGATTTTAGAAGATTTTTCACTTTCTCGCTCTGTTGGTGTAAATGATATGTAGGGTGCTATTTACTACATATCAGTATGGTCCACCATACAAAAATATTCCTTTCAGGATTTCGAAATCTCTTGTAACTTATGCGTCCCTAGTTCAACATTTTTTGCACCAGCACACTCTGTACAACAAATACGCTTTAGATCAATGAACTCGTTCGAAAAAAGTTTTTGTATATATCTAAGTGCACAATAGAGCTTTTCTCGAATAACATGCAACACAACGTCTGTGTTCGACAGATTCTCGATTGATTGTAAGAAATTCAAGAAAACATCTCTTTGTGCTAAAATAAACGACCGAAAAGAAAATGAAACTATAGAGGTCATAATGGTCATTCCAGCAACCTCGAAATAACTCCCATGAACATCAGAAGCACAGTAGTGCCAAAGATACATAAAATTTTTTGAAACCGTCATTTCCAATTTTACTCCTTTAAGGGTAAATGCGTAAGCCCACAGATAAAACTAATTTTCCTGAAAACATGAACGTTGGAAATAACATCGATGGTTCATTCGATCCCAATATTGCATTCTACTGAACACAATCCAGCCTCTACAATCATTTGCCGTTCCAGATTGGCGCGTTGATTCACGATAGAAAGCTTAAAAACGACTCATAAGCTTTAGAAGTTAGTGGACATCAGCATCCAAACTGATTCTGATGGATTTCTTCCAAATACGAACTAACTCGCACTGAAGCTGCTTAAATGTTCACAATTCCTACACTCATGATACAGCGTACTTGTAATTCATTGCCTGTTGGAAAATACGAACAAAACTTCTTAATTTATTCCAAATGAAAAATTGCCAGTTCAAAACACAAAACAGCTATTTTGGAACTGAGCAACAATTTCTCTTGAATAAATATGTATATTTACATCTAAGGGCTAGTAAGAGAGTAAAAGTCTAAATATCTCATTAGCAAAGCAAGAAAATAAACGATGGTGCTATAACAGGGACATATAGAACCGAAAGGATATACAAGTCTTCTCGTACTCATATATATCATCTTCTGAAATTCACTAAACGATAACGGTGACAAAGCACCCATGGAACAATAAAGGGATATAGTAAGTATGAACCCGGATTGACGACGAAACTATAAAAGAAATTCTTTTAGAACCTTACATACAATATAAAATAGTAAACACCCTGATTGCGACAATTATTTGACAGAAACGAATGTGGAGGTAATGGAAGCAAATGAAACGATTTTTAATCCGCTTCTTCCTCTCCAGTTAAATCAATAGTGCGACCACAAGTACCACGATGTAATGGATCCATGATGCCGGGCCTTCTAGTGGGATTGGGTGGATGGAGCCCGGGTATCCTAGAATAAAATATTCAACTGGACTAGGTTGTATTCATATTAACAACCTTCCGCGTTGCACAAAGGAATTATGGAAAAACGTCCATGAAAAGTAGAAACAGATTTTAAAAAACAGTTTACATATACTTTTTACTTTCGGGAAGACGACCAAAAAAAGGACTCTGCAGCGCATCTGCCATTGTAATACGGGCAGCAGGCTCGAACTGCATCATGCTATGCATAAGCTCGAAAAGTTCGCGTTCCTCAGTACCGGAATCTTCGATTTTACGCTTAAACAAAATTAATACCATTTGAAGCATTCAAAAACGCAATTCGGATAATAAAACAATTACCACGAGATTCGCACAAGTGTCCCGAATGAAGCTTTCATCTGTGCCTGTCACGTCAAGAACATCGTTGTGAAAATATCTGGTTCTGAAGTAAACAGTTGTCGTATACTCGATTAAGAACAATGGCTTTAGAGGAATAAGCAGTAATAAAAGATTGGCTAAATGCCACAAAACACACCGCGTTTTACGAATCATTCGCAGAGGGATGTGACCACATACTCGTTCCATCATCGCAAGATGTTCCCGGTTACTATGAGTGCGAAAGAGTGTAGCTCCACGATGAAGCTCATATAAAATGCATCCAAGAGACCACGTGTCACATGGCTGCCACCATCCAAGATCTGAAAATCAGTAGGAAATATGAACCACTAAAACGCTTATGCGTTTTGACTGTTTTAGTCGACGATATACGCACCAAGTATGACCTCAGGAGCTCTATAATGTCGAGTTGAAATAATGGCAGAGTGATGTTCGCTATTAAACGTTGCTGAGCCCAGATCAATGAGACGAACATTGGTATTCTTAGGTCTGTGATATGTCTAAATGCTCAGTGATGAAACCATTTTCGAAGTTTAAAAAGAAAGAATTAACATCTATAAACTAACCACATTCCCCACTTTCTCTGTGTAACAGTCATCGCAGACAAACAAGACGTTCTCAGGTTTGAGGTCAGTATGGGTCAGTTTGTTGTCATGCAAAAACTTAACGGCATAACAAATTTGATACATTATATGCCTTGTATCCTCCATGTGATATGGTCGAAAATTGTACTTCCTCTGAAGAAGAAACGAAAAAACTTTGCGGACATTGATATATGACTAATAGGAAGTGACGGTACCAACCTGAAAGTCAAAAACACTGAGGCCATAGAGTTTGAAAACAAGGCAACAATGTCCATGGTAATCGAAATGTTCAACAAGTTGGATGATCTTGCTGAAATGAGGACAACATCAGTTAACAAACCAATATGAAAAATTAATAATCATGAAGAAAATAGTAGCAAAATTCCTCAAAAAAAATAGAAAAAAGTACGTGGTACGCAACATGAATTTCAGGACGACATTAGTAAAAAGATATGAAACCTCAGAAATGAAACAGGAATTAGAACTTTCGAGAAATTTTGAGTTAATACCATATTAAAGATAGAACATTAAAACGGGAGATGAAAGAAGTGATATTAAAAAAAGTAGGTGAAATGACGGGTGAAATCTCAGAACCTCACTGCATGTTGCATTTCCCCTGAAATCGCAGAACTTCGAGAATTCCGGAAAAACACTGGCCGGTTTAGTGTGGTAAACATGTATGCGAACTGAAGCTTATCCAAACAGAAACAAAAATTCGATCTTTAAGTATAAAAAGTGCAAATAAAGGCACCTCTGATGAAGTAACAAAAAAGCGGATAGGAATGAATAGAGAAATTCATCCAACTGTCAATTGCAAAAACGCATCTAGTATCTGATTTGAAAAAATTCCTGATCTTTGGGAACAATACTGCCATAGAAAGTGAGTGAACTTCGACTGCTTAGTTTATGTCTAAAACGAAAGCCAACCTAGGCTAAATGTGTAAAAGAAATACGAAGAAACGCAAAAGTGTTTCCATAGCTCAGAACTTTCGCGACTATGCCTAATCTCGGGTTTCTTGCAGACTGAGCAACTCCCAATCCTCAGCCTTCATGCACTTGCTGATTTTATGAAAACAAACACAAAATTTTCGTTAACCAGAGGACGTTGTGGGTTGTGAACATCAATGGATTATAGGAAAGTCTTTGGTCTATCGTTTTTTGGGTTTGAATGATATCTGCCTTGCTGTTTACTATGTGTTACTATGGTTCATCATATAAACACATTACTGTCAGCAGTGTTTCGCGACTTACGGGTCCCTATCACTCACTATGTTTTTCATTTTTTTTATTTTATACGAATAAGTTCCACGTCTACTGTGCAGATCCCAGCATTTCTCACATTCGATTTGTTTTTCGCATTCATCATCCACTAAGCTTTTCCAACTTTTACGTGTGGATTCGGCCGCTACTTGAGGATTTTCATTTCATCTTGTATGTCGCAGAATGCTTGTAGAGTCGACTCTCTCTGGAGTCCTGAGACAGCTGGACTGGGTCGCTTACAGTTAGACTGCAGAGACTTATTTTCCCCGGGACAAGCGCAGAACCAATTTCCCGAACCTGAAGGGATGAAGGGTTTGGTGAACCTGGGGCGAGATCGTAGCAGCACCGTGTCCGTTATGACTGACATCACTGCTGTGCTATACGCCCATTATTATTTACTATAGCAACTATAAGTGGAACCACAGTCGATTATCATTCAAATTTTCGGTTAGTGAACTCGTTCGGAAGCGTTTTTGTTTAGTACATTTCTAAGTGTGGTATTTTAGTACATTTCTAAGTGTGGTATAGTGTGGTATGTAAAGGTTTCCACGATCAACCCTCAACACAGCACCTGCGTTATACAAGCCATTAAATAATAACAGAAACTGTAGGAGAAAAACTTCATTTGTTAAAATAAACTACTGGAGAGAAACGTGTCGATGTCATACCGGGTACTCCCGCGGAACCATTACGATACTTAAAGGTGTCACTCGTCGCGAGAATGTTGAAATAAAACATGACCGACATTGAGGGACCCTTAGAGGTAAAAGCAGAATGTTTGCTACTCGGTAAGATGTGCGACAACATAGGATTGCGATTATGAACCAATGCACTATAATTTGAACAGCCTACACTGCGCATTTTCGGCTACACCAACTTACAACACTAATCCCAGACTCAGATTTATCCACTACTTCAAGACTGCTGAACACATCAAGTGACGAAGAGATGACAATGTAATGTGAAAGACACATTCCCAAGTTAAGCCACTGGTCCCGACGGCTAATTTGAGTGGAGGATATGTGGGACGACGCCTGAACTTTCGCCACATGCGCTATGGCATAATTGACTTATCGAGTCCATTCTGTGATCCAACAGACCTGCATTACAGCGCTCATTTAGGTTTTTTGCGTTTCACGTACTTCCTATGTTCATCTATAGATTTTCGCATAGCTTAGGAACATATCCAACTCCTGTTTGTGATGAAAAAAGAACTCATCACCATCAATCACGTTAATATCAGCTTTTGATAAGGTTTTCCGCGATATCCAAAAAAAATTTTTGTTTTTTAGATGCTCTTATATCCAATTATTCCACACGATGATTTTTAATGAGCATAACGATTGGAGATGAAGCAAAAATCAAGTGTTGGCCCGAAATCGAATTGTATCGACTCAAGTAATGTCGATGATAAAGGCACGTGTGGCGCCGTGGTCGGAGGCGCCCTGTAACACACACGTGGAATCGATCCCGGAGCCGATGGCCCACCAAGTCGTCCATTCCTGCGGGGTCGGCAAATTGGTACCAGACTTGTCTGGAAGATAGCAGCACTGGCTCGATACATCGGTAGGCCACTGCGAGTCATTGTAAAGGCCAGGTATGCATGCAATCATCTCCAAATGATGCTTATTGAAGTCGAATGCATGGCGCATCCTCTCAGCGATTGATCAACGCCGATAGCTTTATCCTTTTTATTCTTTATCCACGTCGATGATACATGTATTAGACTTTATGTTCCAATGACTGCTCATCAAGAGTGATTTACCTACAGATAAAGAATCCGAATTGTATCGAAGGACCAAAAGATGTGGATAAGAGGATGAATCACGGTAATCGACAACTTTTAGAGAGACGAAGTGATACATTAGCCTGTGTCTTCTACGTACTCCTTAAGATCACCTATGTTGTCCTATTCTGGCAGAATACTTACAAATGAGAAGAAAATTTGTCCAGCATCGAAACATACCGCTGTCAGCTTTTGGTATACGATTTCACAGCAAATTTATTATCATCCATTCGATACTATGACCATACTCAGAATGAAGATGGCAAAGGGAAGAAACCAGAAGTGTTTGAGTGACTATACTCGTCAGCCTTTTCCTTAAGATGAGAAATGTTAAGTTGTAACGGTTACAATATTATTGAAGTTGACTGCTGTTTTTACAGCCACCTTCACAGTTAACAACATAAACCATGAGACACGTTCAAAAAGCTGTTGACTTCCATTAGGTAATAATGTAACCCATTATGAAAGCGACATTCTGTACATGACCAGTCAGTTGCTCGAACACGCCAACATAAATTAAACGAGAGTTTGCAGACTTGGCAAAAATGTCTGTATGGACGAACCTCTCTTGCCTGATGTAGGAACAGTAGCATTACACAAACATCACCCAGTTCAATGCTAAAGTCTATTTGAGCTTGAGTCAAATGGACAGTCTACAAGTATCGGTACCCTCAAGAAGTTCTACGATAAATCGATCAACACCTAAGAGAAGGAAGAAGTTGTACTGGCTGCTACACGAAACTATGTAGATGTTAGGACTCCGAATCTGTTGGAATACACGCCAGCAGGTCAGAACCCACCTATATCAGCAAATACTTCTCCTTAAACTGTTTCAGTACTCGTCAAAAAAACATCAATTTTAAAAGTTTAGCTGCATGCGAAAACTGGAAATTGTAAAAGTTGCAGGAATGTAATGACTGCAATTGTATGCAAATCGCATGAGGTGCACAGTGAAGAGGTTGCCGGTAGCAATATATATTAAAAGTGTCAACACTAAATTTTTAAGCACAATGTTTGTGACATCAATAAAAAGTAATAAGAACCGAGTTGAGATTAGGTAATGTTTGCAAAGACATATTTTGGGGAAACACATTGATGTGTGCACGGCTAGTCTTTATTCGTACTTCAAACACGCCTTTACAAATTTTTACAGAGATTTGTCGTCGAAGCAATACTGCGAACTAAATTTCTAGCTTCTCTGTGTCAGTATAGCAGATATGCTAATACCCAAGAAGAGATTCATATCAGATGAATAAATTCGACCTAAAGTTTTTTCCATGGTAATCCGTGTAGAATAAAGCATCTCTCGGACTACAGGAGGCACAATATCTGCATTGAATAAGTTATAGAACGAATACAAAAAATCCAACAAAAAAAACTGCGTGCAATGCAGCAAAACAAACGTCCGAAAGGAAAAACAATCATACATGATTCATACCCTTGACCGTGATCTCAGTCTACACATTTGTTGCGGCATGCCTCATTTACGGTTCACGCTGGTACCAATAGGTTAACGGCGTAGAACCTCCTAGTGAAAAGAAGATAATAAAGAATGAAGGGTAACGCTGTCGGCGTTGATCAACTCCTGAGGGATGCGCCATGCACTCAACTTCATTAAGCATCGTTGGAGATGATTAAATGCATATCTGGCCTTCACAATGACTCGCGGTACCCTATCGATGTATCGAGCCAGTGCTGTCAACCTTTCAGACATGTCTGATACTAATTTGCCGACCTCGGAAGGATAGAAGGTTTGGTGAGTCTAGGCGCGGAATCGGACCCACGTGTACTGCAAGGCGCCTCTAACCACTCCGCTACATGGACACCGAGAAGATAAATAAGATAGATAATTCAAACAACCTCGACCAGAGTAGATTTTTAGAACATTTATGTTCATATTTTAGTTAAGCTTGCAAACGTATGCCCCAGATTTTTTAAAGCAACGCGTTGAGTCAACATGAAGATTCCGAAACATATTTCAAATGGGCAGAGGCAACAGCGGATTGAAAACACAAAAGCTCTATGTGGAGTCGTAAACTAATATTCCACAGTAATCGACCAGTTAATAACATTGGCGGTGGCAAAACTAATAGCTCATTCCAACGTTTATAAACTGCAGTGTAGCTGTCCCAATTCGAATGTCGTTTGGCAGAATACGCAAAAAAAATGGAGGCAAAAAAGGATTCGCTGATTAGTTAGAAGCACCCTAGAATGTGGTTGTGAAGGTCCTCTTATAATAAGAGGATAAGAAAAGGCATAACGTCAAAAATCAGGAATTCGAACAAAAAGTTCTTTCCTTCAACACTATGGTATAGCTCGGTATCTAAAAACACTTTGAGAATGAAAAATAAGCTGACTATAGCGTTTCGTTATAAGTATGGAATTCCGTAGTCTCACAAATAGTTATCACTAGTAGAATCAATTTTGGGTTCATGTATGGTGTATGGTCATGCTAGATGAAGAAGCTGACACCTCGCTAGTTCTGCACAGAGTAACATCTCTAGCAGCAAAAATAGTAAGGAAAAAAGGAAAGTACGATTCGGGATGGTAAACCTGTTCAACTATTTTCTTTACACTTCGGTTATATTGAATTAACAAAGTTACCATACCCTTTCACAACTGTCTGAAAACAATGGATATATATGAGAAAACCATTGACAACTTGAAAAAAAAACTTGTTGTATAGCACTTTCAAAAAGTTTTCGAATAAAACGGTAGTGAACTATATGCTTAAAATCTTCCACTCCAACAACAAGAAAAGAAAAATAAAACGGTGAAATCCAGAAAGCAAAATTATTCTCGTAAAAACCGTAAATTGTAGCGTTGGGAGCATTTCAAAGATAGGGGTTTAATCACCAATCAGACAGTAACCCTACAGCGCTCAAATACCAGAATTTTACAATGTATGATATTCTTGCGCATACCAACAATATAGGTAAAATCCGAACTCTGCAACTGTTGTGCTATTTAGGTCATACGAAATACAACTGAGAACTACTAGCTTTTTCTGATTTAAAAGCAAATTCAGTTTTACCTGAGAGAAAGAAAAACGTGGTGTAAATAAGATTATTTTCTACTCTGAAAAAAAAACATACATTCATCTTCATCTTCGCGACTTATGATCACAAAAGTGGAGTCCATCGCCTAACATACCGCAGAAATTGAAAAATATTCCAAAAAGATTCTAGAGAAGGGCATTCGACGCTAACTGTGCCCAAAAACATCAACGTCTTTCGAGTTAATTCTCAAACAAATTAACTAAAGTGGCAAAAAGCCACAATTAGGGGTTCTGCAGAACCTTTTAAATGTGAGAAACCTCTTGCCATGATTGTTATTTTTACTGTGGTAGCCTATAGCTAAGTACATTTTTCATTTTAGTGGGCAATGGATGCTCTTGTCGCATGAGTTCGCGCTGTGTAGGAAGCATTATTCGGTTTACAACGACTGGATATTCCTGGAATCGATACCGCCTCGTCATGCTGCAAATGCACCACTTGTTCACAAGACGGCAATAATCAATGCTTTGTTTCATGAGATAACGACAGATGATGCACAGGGGGTTAATGACGCAGTAGTATCATAAACCAACATGACAAATTTGTGAGAAATATTCGAACTCACTGAACTCCATTCGGGTCCAACTGTTTCAATTTTGTCAGCACCTTGATTTCTAAGTAGGCAGCATCACGATATTTATGAACATTTCGTACAATCTTCACAGCTCTCATCTTTTCCTTCTAAATACGCCGATTTTCCACTAGAAGATCCATCACTTAAAAGAGACAAACCTGTTTGTCGTAGGCCTTAACGACTCTGCCAAATGTACCTTCCCCAAGTTCTTCACGGAGCTCCCCTAAAAACAAAGAAAAAAAAGTGAACCACTAATAAGAAAACACAAATATTAAAAATGGAATGAAACGAACATCGACCATGAAGAGTATCATTTTTCTTGAAAATGAGATGGCCATCATCGTCGTCAGGCAACACACCAGCTGCTTGTCGATCGAGATGTGCTTTCATTCGGGCTCTCTAAAATATTCAATATCCATCGGTCATACCCAGAAATTAGAAGTTATTTATGCACCTGATCGTTTAAATTCTGCATTCTTGATTTCTGCCCAGAAGCAATAATTTTATCCACTTTTGCTGAAACCGTGGGCGGAAGCTGAAGTTGAGCCAGCAAGTTCGCTGTCGCTGATGCTGTGCTTTTTACAGGATGTTGTTGGACGTCTTTCCCACCTTCCTTCTTTTCTTCAGCTTTTGAGCTCTCAGGTACTTCAGCAGACACTGACTGTGCCGAAAAAGCCGCCGCTACTGCATTTACGGTTTTCTTCGCTTTTTGCTCGTCAGCTTGACTCGATTTTTCACCAACTTCCACTTGACACTTCGACGGTGTTGGAAAAACAGGACCTTCTTTAATCTGCTCTTTCCTTTTTCGAATTAACAATTTCTTCTCAATAATTCGCTGTTCATCAGCACTGATGTTACTCGTAGATGGTACATTTAATGGAGAGCCAATAGCGCAAATAGTTGTGCCACTTTTTGAGCCATATGCTTTTCTAAGAGCTCTTGAAGCTGACGGTGTTGCAGCAACGTCTTTCTGCTCTTGAGTTAACTCAGCGGTAACAATCTTTCTGTCCCTTCCAAATATGTTAGCAGGTGTTGTACATAGCTCCCCATATTCAGGAGAGGTTCTTGGAAAACTAGATGGGGAAGGAGCTGCCGATTTCTGTAGGGCGGAACGCAGGTCATGGTGAACTGTGCCCTCGACTCCTCCAGTCACAATGGATGCTGACACCTTGCCATTGTTATCACCTTGGGATGGTAATATTTCATTTGAATCCTCTCTGTTGCATTTAGATACAGGAGTAACAAGACGTTTTTGTTTACTTAGACTACTAGCAAAAGGCACCTTCGATGATGGCTCCTTTGGTTGCAGGTTGGCTAGACGAGATTCCTCCTTGACAGTCTTTTTCATAGGTGGAACTGGAATACGTAAACTAGCACGGCTTGCTTCGTTCTTCTTGAGTTCTGAAAGTTTTCCGGAGAAATGTTTTCTTAATGGAGACTTCCTTGAACATAGTGGTGAAGCAACTACATTCGTCGTAGCATCACTTGTTGGCTGAATATCTTCTTCATCAACTAGCTGTGGAACATCAGAAGTTGATGGAGATGTGACTCCATCATTGATAGAAAACTCACGCCACAGTCCTTTCCACTGATTGAAACTTCGATATATATGAGGATCTGACACACATTTGCGAAGGCTCGCTAAAAGGTTTATGTTTCGACGCCGGGATACGTAATTTTTATATTTTCGTTTTCGTGGAATTATGACTATAGGCATGCGTCGCAATCCAAGTGGTGCTTCGATCGACTTCTTCGGCATATCACGTGTAAGAACTGTTTGAGTTTATACAGTAGACGAAAGGTGGACGGCAACACAGATGGACACACGCTCCAAGATTTAGTAAAATCCGAAAGCAAAATGAACAGAATGAAGATTGAGTAGTCGTTCGAACCTTCCCTCCGAGTTTTTTTAGAACACGAGAATACTCTTTTCGTAGCGAAACGGCCAAAATCTTTTCGAGAAATAACACTGCAAAACAACATATATGTTGAACTCGACCGAGAAAAATGAAGTAATGTTGACGAGAACACTAGGGCACTGGCCTTCCAGCGAGCCAAGCTGGTGAGCCGAAAGCTATAGTCCTCGCAAGAAACAGCCGCGTGCATCCGCCCACCGAGCCATACTTTACAACCCCCGCCACGCTCAACTGTTTTTTTTTCCTTAAAAATCAGGAATACTAAAAGCCAGAATAACCAAAAAATCTTTGAAGGGAGAGACACATTGTAATTGCATCATAATCCATAGTAATTAAGTGAATAAATTACGAAATACCAGTAACGATGCTTCACCGACCACCAAGCAATAACAACTTCATAAGTTGGTAAAATCCTCAAAAGTAGGCTTTTACAAAGCGGAATAGAAAATTTAAAAAATACACAACAAATCTGTCAACACACCTTTTCTGCACGTTCAGCACGTCCTTGATCATTCTTCACAGATTTCAATTTACTTGATCCCTGACCACACGGTCGAGTACTTTTTTTCCTCAATTTACGGCGATGCGTCACAGGAATGTAGGAAGCTGTATACCGCATGGTTTACCGGCTAACTGAAATTATTCGAAACAAATCCAACTAATCTGAACGATGGAGATAGGCGAGCCACAGAGAAACGTTCATCTAGTATGGAAATAAGGCGACAACCAAGTGCCACCTTCGCAGAAGTGAAAAGCGAGTTCTCCGTCTTAACATCTCAATTATTCTCACTCCACAAATTCAGGCATGACCAACGCACTTCTTCCAAAACACCAACAGGGAAAAGTTTCACATTTGTCACAACGCTTCCCGGCAATCGCAGTATGTACACTGCCATGTTACCCAAGGTGCGCAGAAGTCTATTCGAGCATTCCAGCAGCACAGCGAGACACAATGACGTAACATTATCACCGTAACCTACTAATCATAGGAAAATGATAGTGGCAAGAGTTATTGCGGACATTTGAAGATGCACCTGAAAGCCCGATTACGGATCACTGTGGGACCTAGGATTCACGAAACTTTCCTCCAAAAGTAAGTAAAGAGTAAATTCGAACGGTTACAACTTGCTTTCTAACATGCAGTAATAACGCATAATTCGCTCTCTAAACGAAACATGCAAACCGCAACACACAGCAGATGAATACAGAAAGAAATCAGACACAGACACGGATGTGAAAAACTTTATTCTAAGAGTGACGCTTCTTAAAGTAATCCAGATTCTTCTTCGGATTTCGTGTAACAGAAAAATCTGCTGAAACGAAAAAATGAAGTAAGGGACAAAGAAAGACAATATTAAAAAAGTAGTATACAAACTTATATACTGTCACTTATCACGGACAGATTATTTCGAAGTAGTAAACATTAATGCTACAACACCCTGTTAATATTTGCTGCAATTTTTCTACTCCATTTCATATCAGACTGATCGAATACTAAATTGATGAAGCGACATAAGGCATTCAGGACCAAGACACCCTTCGTCAATGCATGAAAAAAACATGTTAATAACTCAAAAAACCAACTTTCTATAAACGTTCGCATAAATATGTGATAATATTAATTTACATGTTCTCATGAACTGATCTTGTTAAGCTGATGCGAGGTTGGTGCAGTTGCCATTGCCGAAAAAGAACATGTAAACAAATATAAAAATATGTTATAATGCTCACTAAAAACGCCCAACACCACCTGTGTATCATGAACATAACCACGATCCTAGCGTGGTTAATTTCCTGCGATCATTAAACAGAAGACACTGAACACAGAAAGCAAAGTGCAAGACAGTGAAAAATAATACTAGCTGTTAAAAGTACCACTTGGGAAACCGTTAATCACCAGGGAACTTGAGTAAGCAACAGCGTGATCACTATTTGCCTCTGTCTCAGGCAAGAGCTGCCCAACAGATCTGGCTTATCCGGGAAGCATAACAAAAACCCACAGCTTTATTTGCAGATTCTTTCTTTTTAATATTCACTGCGGAATGTAGCCACGCTCACGGGGCTCAGTCATGGAGTTGATTTACTCCTAGTTGGGAAGGAACGATAGAGCCTGTTAGGTACATTCATAAAACAATAGCCTTAATAATGTAACAAAAGCCATGCATGGAAAATGGTACTAGACATTGAGGGGAAGACGAAAACTCATCAAATATTGGTCGTAAACACAAGAATCCGTTGAGGTGAACGATTCGTATAAGCTCAGTTAATGCAACCGACTTACTTATACGTTCTCATCAAGTGATAAACTCATCGTCAAATTCTCAAAGAACTTTAAGAGGAAATCCTACAGATACTCCGCATGAGTCCTCTTCTACTGAATTCGAATTGTATACTCCACGTAATACCTTAAATATGGTGCATCGAATACAGCAGTTAGATTTCTTTGTTTCTAAGATGGTCCCAAATGCATTTTGATACCTCACACGCTCCTATGACAGAGATCATAAAATAGAGTTTCAAAAGAAACTTGCACGTTTCTAGTTACAGCTATCGAGGTTCATCGATTTACAGGTGGTGAAGATGGTTAAACATACCTATAAAGATACTCTTCTAAGTAACGAATCGTTACAAATCTGGTTCCATAACAATGCGAATACACCAGTGAAGTAGTGGCTTGCGTCGGGCGCTGCTCGGATATCCCTAGAAATGTACAGTGCTTAATTGTACCCATATATATGTCTAGTATTCGAATAACCCGTTTTAGACCTTTTTTAGACAAAATGGAGGTAACATCTGGCTTTGATAACATGTATAGAAAAGTTTCACTAAAACACCACTGATGAATTTCGAAACACTGGTGATAACTGGAAACCTTGAAAATAAAGACCACGTTCAACAAAAGAATAAAGGACGATCGCGCATTACTGACAGAGGGAAGACTATTGTGGGTTACACAGTTAAAAGGGAACTCCAGAACGGAAATTAATGAGAGACATGGATATCGATTAGTACTAAATATCCAGATGCGACTTGCTCAAGAAACCACTTCGGATGAGGAACGAGAAAGGTAGTAAAACTGACGTTTGACTGTTCGATTAATGTTGTTAAGCTCACCAGAGTGTTCTAGGACTGTTGAGAATGGATGAGAAAGTCCTACGTCAAGCACAGCGCTTCAATGCCCTTAAACCTTGAGAACCTTAATACGTTGGCGAAAAATGTAAGTATTCATCGTTGTAGAAAAGCTCTTCCGCTTACCTCTTCTGGAAAAAAGACGAGATAGGACAGTTTTCGATGGGAAAGATAACGAAAACAATATAGTAGCGAAGTGTGTTAACTTCAGAAAACTCGAACGTCGATGAGGGAATCCTGTAACCAAAAGAACGTTCACCGTCAGTTTAGCGAACAAATGCCGATTAAAGAAGAACATTAGCATGACTGAAGAGTAGAAGAAAAACGTTACAACAAGATTAAATC